TAAATTCGTCGAAACTAGAGCAAGTTTATAAAATAAACATTTCTTCATATTTTAGTAGCATTTCATTTTATACTACCGAGTAAAGAATTCTAACTACAATTTAACTTTCTGCAGGGGATTTTAAATAATTTCGATTCAGTTCAAACTTCGGCCCAAGTTTAGGTGTTTCTCTTTTATTCAAGATATTAGCAGTGTTTTAAGATCCTAAAGGGGGATCACCTAATCTAAAGTACCAAGAACAGTCCGATCTTTCAAACACTCTGATAGAAATGCTGCAAATGCAAAGATCACTTAGTTTCCGGTCATTCCGTCACATTGGTCGGTATTCTGTCTTTCTGTCCGTCCAGTAGGCGGGTATTTTGTATTTCTGTCCGTCCTGTAGGTTGGTACTCCGTCTTTCTGTCCGTCCTGTAGGTTGGTACTCCGTCTTTCTGTTAGTCCTGTAGGTTGGTACTCCGTCTTTCTGTTAGTCCTGTAGGTTGGTACTCCGTCTTTCTGTTAGTCCTGTAGGTTGGTACTCCGTCTTTCTGTTAGTTCTGTAGGTTGGTACTCCGTCTTTCTGTCCGTCCTGTAGGCAGGTACACCGTCTCTCTCTATTTGTCCTTACTGAGATACAGAAAACTCTGAAACTTATTCATCAAATCTTTAGACAGCCCCGACTTTAAAGTGCTGCATCGCATTGGCATTTAGGTTTACCTTTAACAACTTACTTGCAGTCCTAGGTATACAGATTGTTTAAACGCGCTTGTTTTTAACTTAAGTTTAACGGATTATTGGCAAAATATTGCTTGATTTTTGCGTGAGAGCGTGAAAATCTTGGTACTGTCCTGTAGGAGTGTACTCTGTCTCTCTATCCGTCCTGTAGGCGGGTACTCCGTCTCTCTGTCTGTCCTTTAGCTAGGGGGATACTCCGTCCCTCTGTCCGTACTGTAGGCGGATACTCCGTCTTTCTGTCTGTCCCGTAGGCGGGTACTCCGTCTCTCTGTCCGTCCTTTCGCTAGGCAGATATTCCGTCCCTCTGTCCGTCCTGCAGTAGGCGGATACTCCGTCTTTCTGTCTGTCCTGTAGGCGGGTACTCCGTCTCTCTGTCCGTCCTTTAACTAGGCGGATATTCCGTCCCTCGGTCTGTCCTGTAGGCGGATACTCTGTCTTTCTGTCCGTCCTGTAGGCGGGTACTCCGTCTCTCTGTCTGTCCTTTTGCTAGGCGGATATTTAGTCCCGATCTGTACGTCCTGTAGGCGGGTATTCCGTGCCTCTGTCCGTCCTACTGGTCGATACTTTTCATTTGATTTATAAAGAGAAAAGTATTCACGGGGATTTTTTGCTGTTGTAATATAGACTTGAATTAATGGCGTTTCGTGCACTTTGCTTTGATTAAGTTATTAAACAAAAGCATTGCATACAAGTATATACAAAAGAAATGTCTGAGAAATGAATATTATTTAAGTTAGTCACCAGGTCAGTCAAAAAAGGGTGCAAAATGTAAAGTAATGAAATGTGCACGCGCCAAAGCAGAACATTTTTTCCTCTACAATTTTAAGTACAGCAATAACCAACACTGTATGTTTTCAATCATACCGACTCTTGTTGTAGAGTTATTGAGAATAACAATGTTGTTTTGAATTTCCAATATATAACCGGATAAATAAGCTTGTCGATCATAATTGAGCCTCTACCCCCCCCATCGTTTTTTTGCGATAACTTAAGAAGTATACGTCTAAGGCTGTTCAAATTTTTTTACTTTTCTAACTAATACATGCCCCACACTTTAGGCCATAAGATTGGCATTCATACCTACTGCCTGAGTCCTCAAGCATACTGCCTGAATGCCTTATTTTACATTTACCAGACTATAAATCTAAATTCAGACCTACTTCCAGTTATTTGATTTCAACATTTTATAGCTCTTTGGAAAACCTATTACAAAAGAAACCAGATTGCAAAATTTCTGCAAAGATATTTTGCGCATATTTTTGCTCAGACGCATTTAAAGAGAATTTGCACAATTTTAGTTTTTCTTGAATACACATTTACGTTTTGCAAATTTTGTAAATATTTTTGCACATTTGAATTTGCTTGATCAAGGCATTTTCAGAAATGTATAATTTTTCATATTTCGATAAATTTTATTTTTTTTTTTTGCACACTTTTGCTTAATAACAAAATTTCGCAATAAATTGTTTGATATTTGCAAATTTGAATTTTTTTCTTCAGATTTTTGAAGTTGAGCCCAAGAGTTTATCAAAACTGTAACAAATGTTATATATTTGTATCATAAGAAGGAAATAGAGAGGGGGGGGGTCACTGTGAACCCCGTCTATTTTGGGTAAACCATGGACGTCAGACGGAAAAGGGTTAAAACAAAATTCGTACCAGCAATGTGTATAAATTTGACTTTCTCCTTCAGTCTAGTTTGTAGTGCAGATTTGTTAGTTTGGTTTCGGAGGTGTATGATATTTATATAAGATAATTAGTCATTTATTGTGAAAATGTGTCACAGCTTACAATGTATGAAAAAACACATCATCAAACCGAAGGGTCTCTAATAAAGCTTCCGGTTTCGACAAATCTGCTCAGATAGCCCATAAAGCTCAGAGATCGAAACCGGAATTAAAAATGATTCGTCTGTGATCAGAGAGAATACAGAAACACAGAGTTTGCTCTTATGTATAAAGTAATGAATTATGTTGGAGTATGCACGGAAAGATCAAATTTTGCAAGAACTATACAAAAATAATAATGAACAATTCATATGTTGAAGGATTCGATAATGATGTAATTACTGAAACGATAAATATGTTATGTGGAGTGAGTAATTATCAATGTCGCATATTTTTTTGCATAATATTGCATATTTTTTTAAACCATATATTTAAAAATGTCAAAAAAAAATTTCAACTGCACCATATCTGTATGCAAGGAGATATTGAATAGAATGAGGGGACGATAGGGTTTCCGTACACTTTGCTGTGACGTTTTTGGACTGCTGAAGAACTATAGTTTTTGCGTATTATTATTATTATTCTTATTATTATTATAATGGAGCTATCCGCAAATTTTTTTTAGAAGAATTTAGAATTTAGAGTGAGCATTTTAAGTGCTCAAAATAGCAAATTAAAATTTAGATTCGTGAAAATATTAGAACTGTTCTTTCAATTTGTTCACTCAGGCATCTCAGGCAAGGTACATGCAGACATATATAAGAATAGCATGTAAAGGAGCCTTTGCAACGAACTCTGATTTTTCTAATTTTAATATCTTCGCAACACCAGATATTTAGAAGTTTCATAATATGAATTCTGTTGGATCAAATAATCTAAGTTTAAAAAAGGTTTATACCATCAGGTTACAAGATATAAGGCATATGCCTTAGAATTCCAAGTATAATACAATTTTGCTTCTGTAAAATGATTTCCTAAAAATGTCACAAAATTTTACCTTATCCTACCCTAATCGATATTATTTGATATAAAAGTTTTTTTTTCTAAAATGAGATATCCTCGATATCCTCGACCTAAGGAATATCCTCGACCTAAGGGATATCCTCGACCTAAGGAATATCCTCGACCTAAGGAATATCCTCGACCTAAGGAATTGAGTTTTAATTGACCTCAAATTTTCTAATCCCTATATCTTGTAACCTGATGGTATAAACCTCTGATTTTTTAAACTGGGTTTAAAGATAAAAAATTGTAAAAAATCAAGTAGAAATGAAAAACAAATTTTTTAAAGCCTATATTGATCATGGGTATCAACAATTAAAATCTGTGTGAAAATCAGAGTTCATAACAATTTACAGATCGTTTGAAAATATAAATAATTGGGCAAGCTATGGTTAAAAAAAGTTTTTTCTTTTTCTAATCTTGTTTTTTTTTGCTTTAAATCGTTCAATTTTGTAATTTGATTTGAATTTGGGAAAACAACCCAGTTTCAAAAATACCCAAAAATTGAATATCTGTTAAATTTTCATTTTTATTTGTATTTTTTTAAAAAGATTTTTATCATTACAACCAATTTCAGAGAGCCATTTCTAATTTTTGTAAAAAATTTCATTTTTAAAACATGCCAATTAGAATTCCAAGAAAAATACAATTTTGCTTCTGTAAATTGATTTCAGAAAAAAGTCACCAAATTTTTCACAGGCCCAATTACGGTATCGATGGTTTCGTTTTGGTTTCGAATGTCGCTACAATGTTACTAATAAATATAATATATTTTTGAATTACGAAATGAAGAACGCTCTGAGGGGACTAAGGAAACACAACACAAAAATTATTTTTGCATATTTTAAAAATTTAAAGATACTTTTTAAAATCAAAGTATATCAGTTTTGTTAAAGCGCCTTAAAGATCTAGTCTCCAGAAAAGGGGGCCAAAAGATACCCTTGACCCCCCCCCCCCGGCCCCAACAACCTGGTCGAACATCTTAAAATCTTTCATTTTGTTAATCGATTAAAAATTGATTAAACCCTAGTCTCTGAAAAGAGACATCTCGGTTCAAGCCTACAGAAAGGTTTGCGGCATTCACGCAGTTCACTCATACACTTTATATTCACACATATCTGTTAAAGCCCTTTTATTTTTTTTTATCTTTTCTCACTTTTAAAAATTATAACATTAAGGTCATACTTTTACCGACATCAACAATAACACATGAAATTGCGTTTTATTATTTTTACGGCGCTCAAAGACAGCTTTTACTGTAAATCAAGTCTAGTTACTGAGCAGAGTCCATATCGATTTAATTAATTAATTAATAAAAGTTACTGTTGTATTCATAAATGTACCATGTACGATGTATTTTGTCAATCAATGTATATTATGACATTAATATATCAACATATTTTTATGGAATTGTTGGCAATGGAATTTGTTTTGTTTAAAAATTGTTTCAATTCTCAAAACTTTTAGGATTGGCCGAAGAAGGGGTAGGGAGCAAATTTTGATGAAACGGGGCTTTTAGCCCATGAGATAAGACATGTGATGATAATATTGCATGGACTAATATGTTTACAGATAAAGCCTACGATGATAACTTGAAGAGTGGAAGGAGAGGAGTTTAGGCTAAAACATGTACTGTCTGCAATGGTTGATTCCGGTTCTACTCCTACCAAAGCCGGTCAGTATAAGCTCTAGACTAAAAGGGGGGGGGGGGGTAGGAACTCTCTGTTTATAGACAAATGAGTGTACCAATAGAATCTGGTGATTTCCTATTGTACGCTTTCATTTTTGCACATGTAGCTCACATGATACATATGTTTAAAGTTGGGCCGCAGCGCTCGGCCTAGAAATTGTCTTAACCTAATCTTACTCTGAAATACTACAAAAAAATATATAGTAAATTTTGTAAATGTGTAATGTACAGAATTTACGGGGGGCCGGGGGGTCCAAAAAGTGATAGGTAGGACAGATCCAAGAATTTAAATCATGTATTTCAGTAACATGTTAAATCAAAAAGAGCGTTTTCTTATCTAATTTTTTCGGGATAAATTTAACCCGATTAAAAATTGTTTTAAACTGACCCCGCGATTTAAAAAACTCGGGAAAATACGGCTCGGGTCTAAGATCTCGTTGGATCTCATTTACGGCTTGAGCTTTCGGATTCAAGCTGCATCTTATTTTCCACAGAGTTGAGTTCAAAAAACAGAATTAATATTCTATTTGGCGGATTTTCATGGTAGGAATTGACGCATTCCGGGTTTTTATGAGAGCAAGAGTCAACATTGAGCATTATTCTCCACTAAAACCAACCAAGGTCGGTTATATTTTCATTGAGCCTAACTACTTCAGTCGAGCCGAAGATCTTGCAGCTGTCAATCACCTGACACAAGCTGTCGTCAGAGTTGGGTAAAAAAATTTGAGTCGGGTTTAATGAAATACGGCTCGTGCCGAAGTTTTGAAATCGCGGGCTCTGGAATGGAATTGCCTCATTTTTAACCAAGTGTGCAGACCTTATATTCGACATATTACTTGAATACTTTTTTATGTTTTTGAAGCTACAGTCACATCAGTGGATTACAGAAATAAGAGAAACATGATAGGATTTGAAAATATTTGGTATATTGGTTAACCCTAATAATCATGTTTGTTGAAAACTTCATCAAATCATTTTAAGGTGAACCCTGCTTTGTTGTACAACCACGTCATGTTCGTGGTCCTCTACCTAGCTGGGTTCTTCATAGAGAGGAAACCCTGTACAATCTGTTCTATAGTAAGTATGCTTAGTTCTTCATAGAAAGGAAACCCTGTACAATCTGTTCTATAGTGAGTATGCTTAGTTCTTCATAGAGAGGAAACCCTGTACAATCTGTTCTATAGTAAGTATGCTTAGTTCTTCATAGAGAGAAAACCCTGTACAATCTGTTCTATGGTAAGTATACTTAATTCTTCATAAAGAGGAAACCTTGAACAATTTGTTCTATAGTAAGTATGCTTAGTTCTTCATAAAGAGGAAACCCTGTACAATCTGTTCTATAGTGAGTATGCTTAGTTCTTCATAGAGAGGAAACCTTGTACAATCTGTTGTATAGTAAGTATACTTAGTTTTTCATAGAGAGGAAACCCTATACAATCTGTTCTATAGTGAGTATACTTAGTTCTTCATAGAGAGGAAACCCTGTACAATCTGTTCTATAGTGAGTATGCTTATTTCTTCATAGAGAGAAAACCATGTACAATCTGTTCTATAGTGAGTATGCTTATTTCTTCATAGAGAGGAAACCCTGTACGATCTGTTCTATAGTGAGTATGCTTAGTTCTTCATAGAGAGGAAACCCTGTACAATCTGTTCTATAGAAAGTATACTTAGTTCTTCATAAAGAGGAAACCCTGTACAATCTGTTCTATAGTAAGTATACTTAGTTCTTCATAAAGAGGGAACCATGTACAATCTGTTCTATAGTGAGTATGCTTAGTTCTTCATAAAGAGGAAACCCTGTACAATCTGTTCTATAGTAAGTATGCTTAGTTCTTCAAAGAGAGGAAACCTTGTAAAATCAGCTTTATAGTAAATAGTGAATATACTTAGTTCCTCATACTATCAGCTCCATAGTTAGTAATAAAATATTTAGTTATTTAATCATTATACAGTTAAGTTCTTCGATTTCAATACAACTTTTTAAGTCAAAACGGATTTGACAGGTCGAGTCAATGTTAATGAATTATTAGGATCAGTGTTTAGGATCCGGATCCGTTGGATCCCCAAGATTTTGGCTTCCTGGATCCGGATCCGCAAAAATATTCAGATCCACGGATCCGGATCAAAGGGGCAAAATATCAACTAAAAACTACCAAAAAAAATTACTCTCAAACCCCAAATCTGAACTATTGAAAAAAGAGAGATTAAAAAAATTTCCTGATTTCTGAATGGTTCATCAAGTTTTAGCAAAAAAATATGCGAAAAAAAATAAGACAAAAAATTTGAACATTCTGCTTTGTTAAAAAAAATCCAGTAAATTTTATGGAAATAACCTGGATCCGGATCCGAATTTAGATCCGGATACATTTTTTCTCTATGCGGATCCAGGATTCGGATCTGGATCCGCATCAAAATTTTATGGATCCTTAGCACTGATTAGAATATTAAATAAAAAATTTTCTCTAGGTGTTCCTTATAGCTATGGGACTAATCTGCTACTCCGGGTATGAAACCTGTCCGTTCTGGAATACATGTTCTCAGGTAAAACTTTTTTACAAAGATTTTAAGTGATTTATTTTTGTCATTTAAGGGGGTGTATATTTTCTTAAAGCGTTTTACTCCCCCCCCATTTCTAAAATAATATCATTCC